AAATTGCTAAACTCACGAAAGCTATTGCATGAAAACAAGTCCGGTGACCCCTTCTTTTTATTGTTCCAATATGATAATAACGTCGAAAGGAATCATCAGAAAAAAGAACTCTAAAATTCTAGGGAAGGAAATTTGCGATGTCTGAAAATTGCCTTTTTTCTAGATTATCTGAATTTCCGCTCCGTAGAATTTTTTAAAAATCTTTGTGCATTTTTCTTTTCAAGTGCCAAAGGCAATCACTGAAAAAAATGATGGGGTCACCGGGTTAGTTTTCGAATTATTTACGCCACAAGCTAAAAAATGCGTCTCAATAAGCCTATGAAAGCGTTGCCATGGAAACTGCTGGTAACGAAATGACACCTATTTTTGGATAACCAATTATTATATAATTCAACCCCGTAAAAGTGTTCAACTGGCCTTGGTCAGTCTTTCTGTTGTATTCTTTCAAAGTTAGAAACCATCAAAAAGATGAAAACCGGTACGAGCCATCTTAATAAAGGCCAGACCCCAACACTGGGGGGTACGTTACCTACTCTTTGCAAGAAGTGCGTGGGTTCTCTGACGTCTCTTGCTAACCAATGCGGAGAAGATGCGGGAGACGGGGCTTACGGTCATGTCGTCCTAGTCCGAGAAGACTAGAATTTCTAACCATAGATCGATGTCATAGCAGTGACCTTACATGGCGAAAAAAGGCGGGAGACAAGGTGGCCGAGTGGTAGTCGCACAGAGGTCTGAGCTCGAACTTTGTGTTTTATTCTTGGCCAAAACGCTCCACGCTCACAGCGGGCTCTCTGTATAAATGACTAACGGTAAATTGTCAAAGAAACGGGTAGGGGCTGGGTAAACTTTGGAAACAGGAATATAAAAAACACGGTGGAAACACTTTCTAAACAAACCACAACAGTACTATTATTATTATTATTATTATTATTATTATTATTATTATTGTTATTATTATTATTACTATTATTACCTAAAGCCTCTGCTTTCAAGGCCTTCTCTGTTTCCAACTCAGACTCCAAATTAGAAACAGCAATTCTTTCTCTTTCCAGCTGCACATCTAATTCTGCCTTTTCTTGTTTATTTGCTGACAGCTGTCGGCGGAGGCCCTCTATGTTCTCCATCAGTCGGTTTTTATCTTGTTTGCCCCGCTGGCGCTCGCTGTCAACCGCATCTTGGTACTTTTTGGTGTTGGCTCGTTCGAGTTCTAACGCTTGAGTTTGTTTTGAATGGCGCACTCTTTCAGCCTCAAGACTTGTCCTGCAGAAAAAAGGAAACTTGTCAAATCTTAATAATACAGTTCTCCAAAATGGCGCCTGTATGAAAAACCCACATCGTTCCTCTCCACGGGAAAATTAATATCAACACGTCCATCAATAGAAACATTTTTACGTAACCTTGTTAAGTTTTCGCGGAGAAGAGATAACAAACATTAGTTTTCCCCCACGCGTGCACCGGTCGGCAAATATAAATACAAAGCAACAAGATTTCATAACAGCCTATTATTATCCAACTACACTTCGTAGAG